AATGGATAATGATGCTGCCTAGCTTTGCTAGAATGCTCGAAAACTGTGTAAGAGATATATAAAGGCTGGTTGTTGCGTTGTGCGATGGGATGTATCACATGACTGGAGTTATACACATCTGCCTACCGTCGTCAAGTCTGTCTGCAGGAGCGTATCTGAGCCAATTATTATGTGTAGGCAAAAAGTTTAGAATGCAATTATTATACGTACATATCCATGCTTTCAGCATGGTGAAATAAATTCACCTGTAACATTTTTCTTTCAAATTTATCATTTCCTTTTTTAAATATTTTTTTTTACAATATTATGTGTAGGCAATTGCCTTTTTGCCTATGTGGCAGCTACGCCCCTGGTCTGTCAGCCTTTCAAGATCGTGCTTATCTATTCAACTACTGTCATTGTAAACAACCTTCAATCAGTATATCTGTTCTCACTGTGAATGTCAAGACTCTGGCGAGTTAATATTTTATATTTGTGACCCAATATTTTAGATTTGTGACTCAGTTGCTTTGAACTAGATATCTGTATTGTCATTCATTGTAGCTTGCTCAATATATTATTGGATATTTTAGACTTGTCTGTTCTATTTAGCTGGTTCAAAGGGGACTCTTAAACCTTTTGTCACGGCACATTTATTAACCGTAACAACTTCCGTTGATAAATGTGCAGCGCAAAATACAGGAAGTACCAGATTCGTTCCCTTAGTTTGATTAAGATTTATCTGCCCGTTGCCTCTTTAACAATCTTGATCTAAGTTTCAAGTTTCTTGTCAGTTATTAAAAGAGACTGAAATTACTTCAGCTTGTTTTTATTTAATATAAACTAGGGCTGTAACGATGCATCGAACTATCAATGCATTGCAATTGTTGAGTCTCAATCAATCGATTGTAGAAACGAAAAACTATCGATGCATCGATAGTATGTGTGACTATCGGTAGTTTAGTAATTGACTTCCGATGATAAATGTGCAGCGCAAATTACAGGAAGTACCAGATTCATTCACTTTGATTTAGAGTGCAGACTTGCAGCTTCACTGAGTTTATGTTTTAACTGTTTACCTGATCTGGGTTTCAAGTTTCTTGTCAGCTAATAATTGAAACTACTTTAACCTGTTTTTATTTCAAATAAAGTATACATACATTTGGGAAATGAGTTCAAATGAGACAATTCAAGGAGAATTGATATCGCAATAGTTGTGTCCCCTCAATAGTCACCCCTAATATAAACTATACATTCATTTGGGAAATGACAAATGAGACAATTCAAAGAGAAAAAAACTATTACAACAGTTGGTCGCAATAGACGATCGCAGTAGTTGTTTCCCTTTCAATAATCACCCCTAGTAACTATATTGAAAGCTTCATAATTTCCATAGACTAGTGTATCGCCAAATGCTGACTTCACTGTCATTTCATAACAAGCATAAAGTTGTCTGTGTGAGGTGGTTGTTGTTTTTGTTTAAATTAAAACCAGAAATTATTTACCCAATTGAATTACCTTATTATATATTTGTGGAAAAATCAGTATAATATTTAAACATGTAACCATATTGGAAGATTCATTCAAACACCTTCTGACTTCATCTTCAATGTTAAAGCTGTAGATCTTCAGTCCTCAATGGCCCAAAGACCCTTTGTGGCAGATCTGGGTAAGAATTAGCCTTCAGCAACCACTTGCTTGTGGTATAAGATGACTAACAGGTTTGCTGTCCCGACTGATAACTTGGTAGATGTTTGTCATTGTATCCAAACTGCGTGAATCAATGCTCACGGAGCCAATCACTGAATTATTAACAGACAGTTGTCACATAGCAGGAATATTGATGAGATCCGCACCAAACAATACCCCAATAACAACACAAGGACAAAACAATTTTAAACAATTTTACTAGTCAGAATTTCTACGTTCTGCAGACGTCAGTCCCCTGACAATCCGCCAGTTGACATACGAAAACACCCGATTAGTAAGGCATTCATTTTATAAAAGGTCTGTACAGGCATCAACATTATCATCTCCCTGCATGGGAGACAGCGGTCGACAATATAGAAAATTTATCAAAAATAGAATCGTTAGAACCAGCTGTTAAAACAGGAACAGAGCAGACACTGACTAACCATCATCAGCCAATTTCAATGTGAACAACATAGGATCTATGGTATACTACTCAGCCCAGCTACAAGTAATCTCCGGCAACATTCTCAAGAGATTCGGTCATCAACTATCTAAGCTTGATTTTACAACTGTACACAACTGTATGTATGTACATATAATATATGGATGTAATATGTATATATATATTTTATACGAGGTACAAGTACATGATTAACAATTTCGTCCCTTTGAACACAACAGATGGGACGCTTCAGTCAACACTGACACCTATCTCCGTTATGATCAAGACAGCAAGGTCAATTGTACAAGATTAATATTTGGTTATTTAACAATATTTCATTATGACGAGATGAAACTGGGGCCATTCAACAGATTGGATAAATCTACATCTATCCAGATTTGAGCAGGATGATGTTAAAAAGAGATTTTCATCAAAATACTTCTAATGACAATGAATTTTTAAATATTTCAAATAAAATTATAAATATTTCTAAAATACTTTCCATGAAAAATGATTTCGAAAAAAAGTAAATTTATCCAAAATGCTTGTACCATGTTTCTCATGAAAGATCACCAAAGAAAAGAAGTTTTACCCATTGTAAGCAGCAGTATATAGTTCAAGGTCAACACAGAACCCTGCATGCATAAATAGCTACCTTGGCCATGGGTAAAGAACCTGTCAGATTACAAGAAAAGATAGTTCCTTAAAAACTAATCCCAAATAAAAACATGGTGTTTAACACATATTACGCTATACAATGTTATTATTGGGATAATGGGGATATTTTGTCTTTGTTTCAACAGACAAAATACTAATTTTGCCGAGATTAGTCTGAATGAGTATTTTACCAATGGCCAGATTTCTAACACAATGTCATGCAAATGTCCATCGCATGCTAGATCTAAGTGGAACAAGTTGGCACTTCATGTCAGATAACTAATGACATTATCACATGTCATGTCAATCTGAAAAATGCCATTTGGAAGAAGAGTTAACTTGAGAAGCTGGACTCTCCTGAAGTTGTGGATAATTGAGTTGTTAGGAACAAAAATCCTGAGTCTTCACAGGCATTTGGAAGTTGGAGACAGCCATCTAATTTGGATAACTTTTGCCCAGTAATATTGACAATCATGTCGATGAAATATGTCTATAAAAACCAGATGTTATTATGACAAATGGAATTATGGACAAAAACATTTTTATTATACACACACCAAGGCAAGAGGTAGCCGTGAAATGTGGTGCATGTCTATTAAAAAAGTTTTATCCATAATACTATTTGTCGTGAGTAATCTTGAAGACATATTCTATAAGTAACAATGAATCCAATCTGCTGAACTGAAAACAGTTGATTTATAGAGCATGTAGTGGAACTTTCTTGAACATATTTCAATAAAAAAATAGCCCTTCATCAATAAACTTAATTTTGTAAAACCCTTTTCCATTTGACATAGTATTCATACACTGCTCAAAAGATGTTTGGGGCCACCACATTCTTTCATATTACTACAGGATCTGTCATGCACAACTACATGTATGGTAATATGAAGGAATTGCATGATCCTTTACTTCTCTTGAGTGGTATATATTACAAACGGAATGAACATGCATTACCCCAATGACCAACTTTCATATCAACCTATTTGTTGAAAGCAGTTTCATTCATATTGCACCAAATATTATACTGTTACAACACAAATCATAGTCTCAATGGCTCAACAGATGCTACAGAACACAAACTGGATTTGTCAACGGTTTCACACAAGAAGAAACTGTCACTGGCATTTCTGTTAAGCTAGGACTGAACATCTGGTTAGTATTGTAAGAGTTGATCTTAACACTACTTCTAGAATGCTGGTCAGCTAATTCAAGTACTGAATGTCTGAGACAGAATGTTGCCAAAATCTTATCCTTCTTGCCCACAAGAACGTCCTAGAACTATCTAGATTTTCTTATTTTGATATCATTTCCTGTATAATCTACCCCACTTACCTGAAATACACCTGCAGAATAAGGTAAAACTGTATTAGCTGTATCATGTATCATGTATCATGTGATTCTTTCATATTACTTACTGATGGCATGACAATATAACTCCATTAATATGAAACAATCATCATTTCAGGTACAACTCTCATATAACTCCTTGACTTAATTGAATTATGTTAATTTCAAAATCTAACACAAATTGAACAAATAAAAAGCTTTATTAATATCAATATTTTCAACATAATCTTTAACACAAGAAAACGTGAAGAACGAACATTGCCTTGAGAAGTCAATATTGAGACAAGGATTCTTGAAACACAAGCAAGGTATGTTTTTTACGGAGCTGCATTAACAGAGGCATGCAAACCAGAATGAGCCAGGCTACTTGCAGTAATGGGCCTATGCTTGGGAGTGGTTTTCTACAAATGTCTTCAGTCTGTTAAAGCATATCAAGGCCAAACCAATTTTATTTCTTGTTTTACAGATCTGCCGGTCATATTTTTTCAAGAATAAGAAAAAAAAAAAATTAAATTTTCCCACTAAAAAATAAAATTCTAATGTTTTTATTGGCCAAAATTGTAAACTTAAAAGAAAATCTTTTTAAGGTTGTTTTTTCCCCCATATACACTTCATTAATTGCCAAAAGTGAAATATTTTTAGTATTTATAAGGAATATTACTTAGACTGCTGATTATATTTTTATTTTTTCCCTCCTACCTTTAGCTTTTCTGAGGAAAAAAATCCGTAAAACAACAAATAAAATTGGTCTGGCCTAATTACTATAATCACAGCACAAGGTGACTTTGTCAAACAGGCTTTGTGTCAGATTCACAACACATTAACACATTTTTCGTAAGCACACGACTGTCGTAAATAAATTTCAAGACATGCAGCTGTCTCAGCACAAAACACCTTTGTGGACCCAAACTACCCCAAAATCTTTGGATGGTTTAGAACACATATGCGATGTGAAGATAGTATTTTCTTTAAAACTGTTGCAGGTTAGTGGAGGTGGAAAGGGGTTGCACATAACATCCAAGATCATTGCACTTACATGGCGACAAGCATGGCACCTGGTAGAGCAACACTTGTGGTAGACTGCAATTATTGGATAAAACTACTAAAATATTGTGAACACATGTTGGCATGTATAACAATGGACTATTTGCTTGACACTCGGTACTGAAGAATGTTTGAGTGAAGGTGGCTTCATAGATTACCTCCCTTGAACACAGCCAATGGTTTGAAAAGGAAACATTTAAGGGGCTGAAATTTTAACTTGTGTTTCCCAAAGTCTGTGGTGAGATGTGTTCTAAAAAACTTGAAACCATATATACGATTGTTTTGGTGATGGCTTTATTTGAACACACAAAAGTTATATCGTTGTGTTACACATTGTATAGGGAATTGTACTCATGGTTTGGCCTTCTAATTATTCACTATCTAAAATGTTTGTTCTGTTATGAGAGTAGACACCATTTGTACAAGATGGAAACAAAATCGACCATTGAAAATATATTCACCGGCATTCAAGTATGAACTGGGAAAATACGAAAATAATTATCATTGTATATTTGTGAATATTTCCCTATTTATCCAATAATGAATATGCAGTAATGAGATTGCATGTAGAGGAGTGGGTGGATTTATCTTGTAATGTACAGGACAACAGGACAATATATGCTCAATATCTGGAGAAAACAGTGACAGCTGGGTTAACAGGGAGACAAAATATTCAGAATATCGGTACATGTTTCTAGATAAATGAGTTAGATAAGCAGGTTTGAGACACAGTGTTTGAGATAAGCAGGTTTGAGACACACTGTTTGAGATAAGCAGGTTTTAGAGAACGAGAGGCAATAACAAGCACACTATCCAGTGTCGAAAACGAAAAATAATCGGATAGTTCTGATATTGCAAAAAGTTAACAATCCCTTGTTTGACCACCTTCCACGCTGAAACTTAAGAACTTCTTTTCAAAAACACTTGCACTAAGTAAGAAGATCAAGTCTCTGGCTCAAACACGTCAATGACGACATTCCAAAAGAAATATGATTATCTTATTACCCATTTACCAGAATATTGCAATTGATAGAAATGGAAAGCATTTCCAACCATTCCAGCTGAATTTGTTTCAGACCAACCAGCACCCCTTCTACCCCACAACAAAAGAAACATATTTGAAAAATACCAAATAGTTTTTCAGGACTTACTACATATCAGCACACACAAAGCTAAGCAGTATAATTCTAGCTTAAAAATATTTTAAAAACCCAGTATTTAAGAATTGCATGCTTAATAAAATTCAATTCATATGAAGAGAACTTCACCCTTAGGTCATTTCTTCAACAAGAGTACACCCAGAAGTGAAACCCAGCTGCTTATTATTCGGATCGATGTGATCATGAGATACACAGTTCATGTTCGGCAAATCTAAACATCTAACTTACTCTGATATTATTGGATTGTTTGTACATTACTTTCTATCAATGATATGTTAATAGTGTTAGTTTCAATAAACATACGATTATGCAATTCCAATACCTCCTGGAAAAAAAATAATGCAAAAATAATCACATTGCACTTTGAGATCCAGCAAGATTTGGTAAATCTAACTCCTATTTCTTTGATACAACTCCATTAAAGCGAATGGTTTACGTTGGCCCTGAGATAGGCTAGAATTCGTTATTATTCTGAATCCACATTCAGCACGGTAGCATACAGACAGAAAACAAAATGGCGGACACTGCCATTGAGGTATGTCGAAACATTAAGCAGATATGCATGGTAGAACGCAAAAATACAAGTCACAGCCATCTTGTCAAATTGCTGTCAACAACAAATTTCACTATGTTTTACAAAAATATTATCTCAAGCTCATAATTGTTCCATTATGGGGCTATCCAGCAAAATATGGCCAGGTTACATATTCCTACAAACTATGAACGGCATCATCATTGCACTGTCAAAGATTTCATTGGTGTAGGAATATCACACGCTTGGGAGTCAGTCAAACGAAACAAGGTGAGATAACTCTTCCCAACTCCATCTTCCTCTGCAGGTATCCCACACGTTCTGGTAAAATCCAGCACATATTGGCAAATATGTGTAATACTTGTCTCGAGAAGCAAGACGTTTGAAGTCGCACAATAGTTGAGCAAAACTTAGTCGATCACACACAATCACTGTATGTTTTGAGTTTCTGGTGAACACACACAAACATAGCTTGGCTTCGTAGATAAGTAGACAGGCTATAACGGGACACACATGAGATCACATGGATTACGACACCTCCAAACACCTCCACTGATCATCATGTATAGCACTGGTGAGGTATCCAGCCCAGCCACACATTAACCCACACATTCTCACAACACTTATCATGTAGGCCCATGCATATTCGGCATCATGCCCATATATGGTTGTCCAGGACTGCCCATCATCCCACCCATTGGGGACATCTGTCTCTGTCTGCTCTGAGTGTATAACTGTTGCTGAAACTGTTGATATTGTGCGTTATAGCCCGGGCCACCAGGACCACCTGGCGGCCCACCAGGTCCACCTGGCATGGATGGATTTCCCTGACCTGGCATTCCCATTGGTTGACTGGACTGCCGTGGCATTCCAGGCCCTGGACCCTGCATAGGCATGTTGGGCATTCCCCCGGGTCCAGGCCCCTGCATCTGCATATGACTTTGCATCATACTCTGACTCATCATTGATTGTCCGTTGGGCATGTAACCAGGATTTGGACCATTGCCCATGTGACTGCGTGGATCCATAGGAGACATGGGTCCCATTGGACCCCGAGGTCCACCGGGGTTCATTCCAGGCATTGGACCTGGCCCTCCCGGACCCATTCCCGGTCCTCCCATGCTCATCATGGCCTCTGGTGGCATGCTTCCACCAGGCCCCAGCGGGCCCATATGTCCCATGGGACCTTGTGGTCCTTCCATTGCCGACATCCCTCCTGATGGATGGTGCATCCCAGGTCCTGGTCTAGGACCAGGCATGCCAGGGAAATCTGGATTAGGTTCTCGCATCATCATTGACTGTTGCATGGCCATTTGTTGCTGATGTGAGAAAGGGGAAGGAATTCCTGGTCGGCCACTGTGTGTTGGAGAATTATTTGGAAAGTATTGCAAAGTCGATGTTGGAGCTTTCCCCTCCATGTTTGAGAGTGGTGGTGAGAAGTTTTGCATAAAGTCCAAATCAGGTCTCTTCTGACCACCCATGTTGGGTTGTGAAGCTGGTGGATTTGCTGGTAGATATTGGATGGTATTGGGTGCTTTGGGTTGGATCTGAACATTTGCATTGCCCACAGAGCTGGCAGGGAAATTTGATGGGCTCATTCTCCCAGGGCCACCAGGACCCATCATTGGATTGCTAGGACCTCCACCTGCAGAGGGATGGTTGGGACTTGAGAAAGGAGGTGCCTTACTCCCCATTGATGGAGGACACTGGCTAGTCGTCATCATCTGTGACTGTGACATGGACGGCCCTGAGGACATGGGGGGGACAGTGAGGTTGCATGGGGCCTCCTGGGCCCTGCGGTCCCCCGGGAACGTTTATCTGAGATGTCTCACTGTTCATCTGTTGAACCTGCATGGAAGGGTTATAATTGCCCACGCCAGGATTGTTGGGCGCGCATTCACACTCTGAATGTTCAATTGCTGTATGGACATGGTTGCATTGACATATGTGTTGTTCACACTTGGAGTAGTTGTTGTTTGCGCAATACTGGAAGTGTTGGCAGAATGCTGCTGATGCTGTTGTATGGGATGGGGAGGTTGAGGTTGTCCTTGAGGATGCAGATGTGGTGGATGTTGATGCGGATGTTGTTGCGGATGCTGTTGTGGATGTTGTTGCGGATGTTGATGAGGAGGACCATGAGGAGGAAGGGGTAGTTGCTGTTGCTGCTGCTGTTGTTGTTGCTGTTGTTGTTGCTGCTGCTGCTGCTGCTGCTGAGGAGGTCCCCCTTGAGGTGTACTACCACCATTTCCATTATTCATTTGTCCTTGTACCTGAATACTGTGAAACGGACCACCTTGCATCATGTTTTGTTGCATTTGGTTCGACAAATGTTCCACGCCTTTTGCCAAATTGGCAAGACTTGCTGATGTGATATTAGACATGGACGATTTAGCTGTAGGAGTGGTTGGAGCACTAGATATGCTGTTGTTGGATGGCGGATCATAATGTGATAATCTCATGTTAGCACCAGACATTGGGGAGGGGCCAGATAGGGGCGACGGACCTGATATAGGCCCTGGGCTTGATAATGGCCCAGCACTAGAGTTCTGGCTAGAGTTTGACATGGGTCCTTTGTTTGAGCCTGGTCCATGCATAGGCGAATGCACTTGATTTTGTTGGAAGTGATTTGGTAAGTGTGGGGGCTGTGACTCATTGGTCATTCCTGAATCACGATATGCAGAGTTCAACTGTTTTGTAATAGTCAATTCCTGCCCTTCAAACTGATTCAGATAATTTATTTGCTGAGGTGAAGGTGTGGGTTGTAAGTTTTTATATAGATCCTCAAGATGATCGTCTCTTTTTCGTTTTTGAGCCTGGGCATAACTGGGCGGAGGTTTGTTATTTTTCTGAGGGCCTGGTGGACCCGACGGTGCCAATTCCGGCTGAAATTGTTCAGGATTGCCCGCTCGATGTAATGAAATCTGAGAATTTTTCATCTGAGACACTGATGGTGGAATCATACCAGGCCCACCTCTACCAGGCATCATGCCAGAGTCAAAACCTGCCCCTTGAGGGGGCATTGGAGGACTGAAACCAGGGCCCCCCATCATTGGGCCAGGATCCATTTGTGGATGTGATGGCCTCCGTGGCCTCGGAAACATACCCATCTCCTGTTCAGGGCCCATACCATGCATTTGAGGTCCATTCATATTAGGCGAGGTAGATGCACTCATCCCCATTGCTCCTGGTCGTTTATGAGCAATCGAACTGTAATATGGAGGGGGAGGGCCATTATGATCCATATTTGGAGTCATTGTCATGCGACGCTTTTCAGAATAAAATTCTTGCTGCAATCGCAGCCACTCTCTTTGAGCAGGGCTTAAATTGTTCTGAGGTGGGGGCCCACCTGGCCCAAACTGAGACATTCCTTGCGACATCATGAACTGTTGCTGTGATGTCATCATTCCATGCTGAGAGCCCATCATTCCCTGGTTGGGCGACATCATACCCTGATGCGATGACATCATCCCATGTGGAGACATCATGCTCTGTTGGAACATGCCGCCCTGCATCCCCATCCCTTCCTGCATCATCCCCGGGCCCGGTCCTGGTCCCGGGCCGGGTGGGAACTGCTGATGCTGCTGAGGCCCTCCTGGACCTCGGGGCTGATCGGGGAACAACATCTGTTGAATTTTACGTAAACTTGCCAAGTGTTCTTCCCCGTCGTTGCAGCTGTTGTGGCGTTAAGCTTTCATCTGGCACTTTGTTTTGCAATAGGTTCATGTGGTTAACTGCATTGAATTCATCGAATTCGGAGAACATGGGATAGTTGGGGCCCATCCCTCCTTGGTTTGGTTGCCAGCCCATCATTCTTGGGTTATTTGTCAGGAAAGGAGGCCCATTCATATTGTTCATTGGCATCCCCATGCCCTGTTCCTTAAGGTTTGCGTTTTGCTGCTGCACCCACTGTTCTATGCTTGAGGCTGGGTTGGGTCCAAATCCTCCCATACCTTGTCCCTTCATCATGTTGGGGTTGGGGCTCGGCATGCTGACCATGGGCATCCCAGTGCCTCGGCCAAACTGACTTGGCTTCAATGGGTGCTTCTGGAATAGAAGATGAAAATAAATGTTAGTCACTTGACATAAATGTTTTATTTGATGCTGTCTAACGTTGCACTCAGCAATATTCCAGCTATACGACAGCAGTAAATAATCGTGTCTTGACATCATGAGCCAGAGGCCCAGATAAGCTGTGTATCCAGGTAAAATACGCATAGAAAATTTCCAATTACTATAGTTGCGTACCAATTACGCATTTAAAATGTTAGATACGCATCAAAAAGTTTAAAACAAATGCGTACGGTATATACTTATAAAAATCGCTTGCGTAATGAAAAAGACATCGATTGCTATCAAGTTGTACTGTCAGTATAGGACGAGTGATTTTTATGAAATCATTTCCATTATATTAAAGTTGGTTTTGATTAGGTATGACATAAGGCAGAACATACCTGCTTAGTAAACTTACTCAATGACATATACTTAGGTGAGTAAAATGACTGAAATACGCACATATTTGAAAGCAGTGGGTAACGGAAAATGAAATACCCACTCAACATTCATAATACCCACTCCAAAAAACACCAGTGGGTACAGTACCCACATGAGCTAAATCTTATCTGGAGCTCTGATGAGCAATGATGTGAAATGATACAATGACATGCATCAACCAAGACGGCAAGCTGGGCCACCCAATTCTGCTAATCGCCTCTTACAAAAACACTTTGGTTGGCGAAGGCCAATTTTAACAGACATCTTGACATGACATACAGTACAAGATTTGATATATTATGGGTGAAACATTTTTCAAATTAAATCTTTTAAGACACTTGATGCAATAATCTAAAAAAATTCATGACAATTATCATGGAACTGTTGATCATTGAACAAAGAGTTACTTCCCTTTGGCTTGATTTGAAAAGCTGGTTAATTTTGTGGCTCCTAATGCCTCATATACCATGGCACTGACCTTTGTATAATACTAATAATCCATGTAATATGCCACTCATCCTTGTGAGATACCAACTTTTGTGGGATCCTAACACCTCTTATACCACGCCACTGACCATTGTATTATACTAACCCTCATATACCACACCACTCACCCTTGTATTATACTAACCCTCATATACAATGCCACTAGCCTTGTATTATACTAACCCTCATATACCACGCCACTGATCCTTGTGTGATATTAACCCTCATATACAATGCCACTCACCCTTTTGTGATAGCAACACCGTATATACCATGCCACTGATCCCCCTCATATACCACCACCACTGATCCTTGTGTGATATTAACCCTCATATACAATGCCACTCACCCTTGTGTGATAGCAACACTTTATATACCATGCCACTGATCCTTGTGAGATATTAACCCTCATATACAATGCCACTCACCCTTGTGTGATAGCAACACTTTATATACCATGCCACTGATCCTTGTGTGATATTAACCCTCATATACAATGCTTTATAACACTTATATACCATGCCACTGATCCTTGTGTGATATTAACCCTCATATACAATGCCACTCACCCTTGTGTGATAGCAACACTTCATATACCATGCCACTGATCCTTGTGTGATATTAACCCTCATATACAATGCCACTCACCCTTGTGTGATAGCAACACTTTATATACCATGCCACTGATCCTTGTGTGATATTAACCCTCATATACAATGCCACTCACCCTTGTGTGATAGCAACACTTTATATACCATGCCATTGATCCTTGTGTGATACTAACCCTCATATACAATGCCACTCACCCTTGTGTGATAGCAACACTTTATATACCATGCCACTGATCCTTGTGTGATACTAACCCTCATATACGATACCACTGACCATTGTGTGATAGTAACACTTCATATACCATGCCAAAGATCCTTGTGTGATACTAACCCTCATCTACGATACCACTGACCATTGTGTGATAGCAACACTTCATATACCATGCCACTGATCCTTGTGTGATACTAACCCTCATATACAATGCCACTCACCCTTGTGTGATAGCAACACTTTATATACCATGCCAAAGATCCTTGTGTGATACTAACCCTCATATACGATACCACTGACCATTGTGTGATAGCAACACTTCATATACCATGCCACTGATCCTTGTGTGATAGTAACCCTCATATACAATGCCACTCACCCTTGTGTGATAGCAACACTTTATATACCATGCCACTGATCCTTGTGTGATACTCACCCTCATATACGATACCACTGACCATTGTGTGATAGCAACACTTTATATACCATGCCAAAGATCCTTGTGTGATACTAACCCTCATATACAATGCCACTCACCCTTGTGTGATAGCAACACTTTATATACCATGCCACTGTTCCTTGTGTGATACTAACCCTCATATACGATACCACTGACCATTGTGTGATAGTAACTCTTTATATACCATGCCAAAGATCCTTGTGTGATACTAACCCTCATATACGATACCACTGACCATTGTGTGATAGCAACACTTTATATACCATGCCAAAGATCCTTGTGTGATACTAACCCTCATATACGATACCACTGACCATTGTGTGATAGCAACACTTCATATACCATGCTACTGATCCTTGTGTGATACTAACCCTCATATACAATGCCACTCACCCTTGTGTGATAGCAACACTTTATATACCATGCCAAAGATCCTTGTGTGATACTAACCCTCATCTACGATACCACTGACCATTGTGTGATAGCAACACTTCATATACCATGCCACTGATCCTTGTGTGATACTAACCGTCATATACAATGCCACTCACCCTTGTGTGATAGCAACACTTTATATACCATGCCACTGATCCTTGTGTGATATTAACCCTCATATACAATGCCACTCACCCTTGTGTGATAGCAACACTTTATATACCATGCCAAAGATCCTTGTGTGATACTTACTAACCCTCATATACAATGCCACTCACCCTTGTGTGATAGCAACACTTTATATACCATGCCACTGTTCCTTGTGTGATACTAACCCTCATATACGATACCACTGACCCTTGTGTGATAGTAACTCTTTATATACCATGACAGTGATGTCCTAACGGTTCTAACAGCTCTCGTACCTGAAGGAACTTCTTTGTGTTGGCCTGGTCCAGGTGGAAGTCTAGCATGCTCTTGTACTGCCCCTGGACCACAGCTTCTGCTGCCTTGTTGGCCATATTGGTGGAAAAGACGAAGATCTGGCTCTGCTGCTGCATGAATGGCGGCTCCATTGACATCTGGATCTGTTACGCCTTCGTCTGCCCACTAGGGGGCATCGGTGGTGGATGCTGTGATCCAGGGGACTTGTGAGGCCCATCACTTGTCGGCGTACCCCCTTTTTCTATCTTGGCTGTGGAAGACACAAAGTAAAGTGGGAACACAGGAAGAGACACAAATAGAATGAATTCAATTAAAATAGTGAAAACAGGTATAAGGCAACCATAATCCAGAGGGAATGTTTACGCCTATAATTTTCAATAGATTGGTTTTGAATGGTCTAGGACTTCCATTCACTCAAAACTAAAAATATTCAAAACATATAATCTCTCAAGTATGTTTAATGCAACCTGTGTATAATCAATAGTTGGTTTAGTCAGGGTATAGAACTTCCATTAATTCAATACTACAAAAAATTCAACACAGATTATTTCTCGAGTATGTTCAAAGCAGCCTGTTTAAAACAAGTTTGGGCCAGACAATCCAGTGATCAGTATTACAAGTACACAATAGGAGTGAGATGAAACACGGTCCAAGTCATCAACAAGTGGATCCATAGTCGCCTCTTACATCTAGTAAAACTTGCTGGGGATCAATTACCACCCAGTATGCCTATAGAGTATACATAAGAGATAAAATATAAAAATGAAGTCCGACAGTACCTTTCTTACCTTTCTTATTCGGACCCGTGCTCACTGGCTGAGTTTTGTTTGATGGGCTATCTTCATGCTTTATTTGGGAATCTGTGAAAAAACGCACAAGCAAATTGATAAAAGATAACACAATCTAAATACACAACTAACATAGAAAATACTTTAAGATGTCCTTGGCATGAATAGATAGTCTTCAACAAGCATTGTAAAGGGAGATAACCCTTCCAGTGTTGTCATCATCTGGTCCATTGTCAGGGATTATGCTGCACCTGATCAAAGGCTAATATTCAGCCATGTTTTTACCAAAAGTCAGTACATTTACAATTCCAATATTGGAATGAACAAATTCCTAGTTAGTACAATATAATTACTACAAGCATTATTTTTTAACTGGCCCATTAAGAAGCAAAGACATGTGTAAATACCTGAATATCCAGGTAAAATAACCTTGACACAGCTACCATTTAGCACAAAATAATGAATTAACTATTAAATTACCTGCAAAGGTAAGACATTTTGGAACCCTACCTAAATCAACAACAGTTTGTAGACAGGTGTATTCACAAAATTATCCTTAAGATTATTCTAGTATTTCATCCCAACTACAATATTCTGGGTTGACCTTCAAGTGGTTTGGTACGATAGGATTCTATCATCATTCCATCTATTGAATCCTCAATAATAACTTGTTTTGCTTATATATTTTCAAAAGATTATATGTCAGAACACTATATTTTTAAAATATTTTTAATGGTCTGTGCAAATACTTCATTTTTCAATCTATTTTCCCTCTATTTTCAAAACATCGTATTATTAATTATTTTCAAATAAAAAGATCATACTCAACATATTAAACTATCTGGTATCCAATACCAGTTGTTAAAAAGGAAAATTCATAACCAATGTTTACAACCAATAGCTTCATCTGCAAAATATAAACAATTATGGATAGCTTTCAAAACTTAAGTATGTAAATCAGGAGGCTAAATATTAAAAAGTCAAAGATTTAGGGACCTCAATGAATGAGTGTATGAGTGAGTAAGTGTAGGCTTACAGCTGGGGACACTAGAAATGGGCTTCACTAATTGTAAACATGTGGAGTATCAAACCCAGGTCGTCAGCATGATGAGTGAACACTTTAACCACAAGGCTACCCCACCACCCTTAAAAGACCTCAGGGGCCCCTCCTTAATTTTGAACACTGGTTGATCTAAAGATGTGGAACATCACTAGAATCTTGGTATGAGAATTTTAAAAAAAAACGAATCTTGGCACCAGTGAGTTTGGGCACCAGTAATTAAGCACACTGAGTTTGGGCACCAGTATTTAAGCACACTGAGTTTGGGCACCAGTAATTAAGCACACTGAGTTTGGGCACCAGTATTTAAGCACACTGAGTTTGGGCACCAGTAATTAAGCACACTGAGTCAGAACTTACACCCAGCACAGATGGACATAGGGAGAAAATTGTATAAATCTTCCACACCTTTTCCCATATCTCCGTTCGCCATTTTGTTCGAATTGGGAGCCGAGCCGCAGTTATCCAGGTTTTTCTGAGCTGAGTCTTCTGCGTTCTCTTCCTTAATGTCCATTCCGTTCTCACTCTTGATTGCAGAGCCATTCACATCATGGTTCATGCTGTCAGAGTCTTTCAACATGGCGTTCACTTCTTCCCGCTCACGTTTCATCAAGAAATCTGGATCTAACTCCAAATTTTCACAACTAGATTCGTTTAAAATTTGGTTCTGGAATGGAAAAGAAAGCATGTTGTGAACAAACGTGATTTCAAACTCAAGTATTAAGTTAAATCATGTCAGGGTATTCTATAAGTTGTATGCCTCTCTCGAGGACAATACAGTCTGAAGTACGTCTCTTTGTAGCTGTGTCACCCGAGCCGAGGAAGAAGCATACAACGTATTTATCTTACTGCCATGTTAAATGTTCAAAATATCAGTTTATTTTATTTCAAAGATCGCTATCGACTATATGGCACGTAAACAAAATGGCGTCAGCCTCTCGACTGAATATTTTTTTTAATCAGTGAAGCATATTCTGACAAGCTTAACACTGCTATAAAAATGGTTAATTATGTTTAGGTTGAGTGTGCAAACGATTTAATGTATGAAATAGTTTAAATAAAGCAGTGAAAGTCGGTAAAATAAATCTGCACATAGTGAACTCAAAAACAGCTAATCGAACGGTTTTCGAACTCCGGACACTGCATGCGCATATTATGACGTCATACGATTGTTAGTGATACAGCTTCTTGGCAGCGAGTTTGGCGGTTACCGTGGCAGCGGGTAATATTTTTTTCAGTTGTCACCCTCCTGGGATGGGTGACACGTAAACTTGTTAAAGTGTCATTGACCAATGACCAGTATTTCACATGAAGGTAAGATAATAGTAAGTGATTCAAGATGTAAATTCTACACAATCATGTGACAATATATATCCTGTTGCGATATCAATAGTAATTGGGACTATAACAGTTCCGATGATGAGCTAACTCTGAATCTGAGTGACTTTGGTTAATGAGTGTTTCAGACAGCAGTAAGTATAGTTGTACACCACTTTTAGCAATATTCCAGAAATAATATGGCACAAATGGGCTTTCCACATTGTACCAATGTTTAGCGTGAGTGAGTGAGTTAATATTTAACGTCACATCGGCAATATCTCAGCCATATCGTGACGAAAACAATTTATACAATATAAAGAGAAAACGTTTGGAAGATTAAAACCTGTCGACGATGGACAGTAAAAATACTAGAGAATCACATATATGAATAAAACTAGCGAGCAAAGCTAAAACATTTCAATTAAAGAGGACAATACAGTATAAAACACGGGCTATAGATCGCCAACAACTGAAGGTAGATCACCATACTAGGAACCATGGGGATTTACATTACTTTTGCTACCTGCATGGACCCTAGCTAGATTTACACCATCCCTTCAGCCGCAGTGATTGAAGGAAAATGTAGCCGGCAGTTAAAAGAACAAAGATACTATGCTTAAAATATGGTAAATTTACATTTTACTTTGAAAATTTTGGGACTTACGTACTCTCTCAGGAGGACAATAATTTTACAGTACTTTAACCCCTTTGAGGGTACAGCCACCAATGTTTGGAATTGAACCCACATATTTGACAAGATGAGTGTTTAACAACACTTTACCCACTAGGCTATCCCCACCCCACAGTATTTCAGTTATACATCAGCTTGACTTAGCGGGAAAGCCAGAAGTTAAGCAAGTCAATTTTGGCGAAAAGCAGTCACAGTATTACAGCGTTCGAAATACCTGCCTGCCCGAGGCCCGGGATGGGTTATTTTCAACACGGACTGACAGAATCTCAAATTCATCTGCCCGACGGTTGGGTTACAATTTAGACAAAAATATGAAGATATTCATCATATTTCAGGATAACAATAATTATTAATTCACTCACAAATCTGAAATAAACAGTTAATTCTTTTCTTGCATTGGTATTATTTTATTTCAATATTTTACAAGAATTAATTTAATTATACTAAGTAAATTAGTATTTTTTGTGGGCAGGTAAATTTTGGTCAGGGTTGGCAAGTTTTACATGTAACCAGCCCTGTGGTCTGGCTGAAATTTTTGGGAGTTTCATACCCTGGTATAAGTGCTGACAAGCATTGAAACATAGACTTAGTTCAAACTGGAATAAGCTTCACACATTAGGGGGAAGATAACAAACCCCTCAGACACAGCTTGATGAGAAAAAACTGTTTTAACCAACAGATGACAATTGACATAGCCAGTATAATGATAACAATGAAAGATTTCAAGAATTCGTTTGATATTAAATCCATGACCATTCTTAAACATACAACAGTAAACTTCACATTGATAAAAGCTCCAAATCAGTTCTGAATACATGTAATCAGTAACGTACCTCGAGAGAAACTTCCACAAGGGGGAATAACTCCTCCCTCAGGTAGTGATATAGTAGTATTTCCTGAGGGTTGGTGGTTTTGCGGAAATGCCTGAGGAAGAGCTTCCAGTCTGCGAGAGTCACACAAACCGTCTCCCAGTCTTTGCGTGCGCCCTTCTTGCCGCTTGTCTCTTTGTACAGTCGCAGATCTGAAAGCAAACAACAATATTTAAACTCAATTCTCAAGATGTCATCTATTTACCTGTGTAATGGTAGGAAATATCTGGCCTTACCACTTGACGTCATGTCCAGGTACGAGAGTACCATGTCCAGGATATGAGAGTACAATGTCCAGGAACGAGAGTACAATGTTGTCATGAATGACTCAAGTGAAATCTGTTAATGAATAATAATTTTCCTACCAGACAACACTAAAACCATGGTAACCGTGACGACATTTTCTAACAGCCATTACTCATTTCAATTTCACATGAAGGAAGTCAACAAAAACATCAATTATGAAAATCAAGGTACAGAAAATGATCTCGATTTAACAACTGTTACTGCAGCCATAATGAAAGCAAAGATTATCACGGTAGGTGCTCACAATGGAATATGGAAAGTACGCAAGGAAACCGATTCTTGTAGCTCCACGAGGTAATATCTCTTTCATGGACATGAAGACGTGAATACCAAAGCTGAGGTCTTATTAATAATGCACTATTGACATATGATAAGTCACCGCTAAATGACTTCGATATAGTCAAGGAAGAATGTATGTTTTAGGAGAGAGGACAACACTAGATTCTAGGAGACTCATGCATTATTAGACACGGAAATAAGCAGCTCAAGTGTGTTCTTCACCAAGCAAAGTGTAGTAGTGATATATTTACATCTTATACTTCAGGGATGTATTACATTTGCAAGATAAAAAGAAATATTTTGAATAATAAATGCACATAAAATATTTTGAATAATAAATGTACATTGAATGTTTTGAATTTTAAAATCTCAACTCAATAAACAGTTATTGTGTATTATATGAATAATCTATATTCAAGACAAAAAACGAAACAATTACACGATGTTCTCCAATTTGGCAAACGTGCTAATGATTTTAAGCATGGCATCTTTGTCCATCTGACAATTCTGTACAATATTACACATTATCAATTAGCACCAAAGCTTGAGATTTCCAAACAGCAGAATAAGATACGCACGCCCCTGTCGACAGGTCTGCAAGAAATTAAGATTGCGCTACAAAAACTGTTTGACGTCAAACGAGATTCTTCTCGCCATGAACTGTAAACCGTTGTAAATGTCAGACAGAAAGCAACTATGTATTATGAGGTCTTCATATTAATTTTCAAAATATGTAACCATGGTGAGAATAATCTTAGCTATCTAACCCACACGAACAGATAGAAACAACGGAGTCTTCAAAGTCACAGTCACTGGCATTATTTCAAGCAAATAGCGACTTGAACATGTTATACATTAACAATTAGAATAAATAACACATGTTGACACTGTTGTACTTAAACCAAGTACAGAAGTTGTTTTTTAAACTAGTACATAACAATATCCAATACTGACTGAGTTTAGTTTTACGCCGCTTTTAGCAATATCCCAGCAATATCATGGCGGGGGACACCAGTAATGGGATAAACACATTGTGCCCATGTGGGGAATCAAACCCGGGTCTTCGGCGTGACGAGCCAACGCTTTAACCACTAGGATACCCCACCGCCCCCAATATCCAATAGATAGAAGATATTAGACCTAAGTCTTTGTATTAAAGAAAAATCCTGAACCAAGTCACGTCACTGAATACTGACTGAGTTTGGTTTTACGCCACTTTTAGCAATATTCCAGCAACATCACGGCGGGGATACCAGAAATGGGATAAACACATTGTGCCCATGTGGGGAGTCAAACCCAGGTCTTCGGCGTGACGAGCCTACGCTTTAACCTCTAGGCTACCCCACCGCCCCCGTCACTGAATACAAGTTGATAATACTTAGGTTCTTGGAACATTTTCACCAGTATTGGTGAGAATATTCCAAATGAGTTGGTTTGTTAGTTAACACTGTACTCAGCAAAATTCCAGCTTTATGGCGGAAGTCTGTAAATAATTGTGTCTGGACCAGATAATCCAGTGATCAACAGCACGAGTATCAATCTATGCAATTGGGTTTGGAAATCTGGGGCAGGTTCTTCCACTACAGAGAACAAACGTAACATTGCCAAAAGATGTGTGGCCATCGTAACAAACTTGTAATACCATGCTATCTAATGTAATTACTCTAAACAAATGTCTGTAGACAGCAATATTATCCTGATTCTGATTGACACATGCTGACATAATAGAAGAGGATGCAGGCGAATATGATACAAAGATCATCGTTTACTCTGTAATCAACAATTATGAAAATTGAATTTGCTATTGAATAATTTCCCCAGAGAAGTACCACAGATAGAATATGTCATTTATCAGTAGGCCCAGGGAGCTGCATGACATCGAGTGTAGAGAGTCTGAAAATCTATCAGTCGTAGGTCTCAGTACAGATACTGGCTACAAGATGGTCTCTGTAGTTAGTGACCGCCTCCGTGGTGTAGTGGTTAGAGCGTCCGCCCAGAGAGCGGAAGGTCGCGGGTTCGATCCCCGACCGCGTCATACCAAAAGACGTTAAAATATGGTACTTGTTGGTCCCTGCCTGGCGCTCGGCATTAATGGGTACAAGGACTGGTCGGCTCCGAGTCAGTATAATGTGTCTGAGTGGGGTATTCATGCTTAACTGCGGCATGGTATCTCAGTGGGCTAGCACTATAAAACCAGCGTAAGTCTGAGCTAGTACAAGCAGCCGCACATACACATACAAACGCATGCACGTCGTCATATGAGCAAAATATTCTCAAGCACGACGTTAAACCCAATTTCACCTCACCTCACCTCTGTAGTTAGTTGTCTTCACCAACACACAATCGCTTGAAAAACAAGCTGGAGAACAATTTCAGGGTGGTTGAAAAGTTCCAATCTTAAATCTCATAGAGTGAGCTGGGTTGAATTCACAGTCTTTCAGTTATATCACAACATGTCAGCTTAAATGATCCAGTTCTCTGAGGTTTAGCACATTGGTAGTGAAACCATCAGCATGAGCTTGGTGCTGAGAAACCTACAATAATATATCTTAGGCAAATCTGGATTCAAACCAACAGACGCAGGGCCTAGATTTTCAAAGCTCTCTTATTCCTAAGGTAGTCGTAAGTTAATGTTAATGTATGGCACTTACGACTATCTTAGCGCTAAGAGAGCTTCGAAAATCTAGGCCCAGGGCCCCGTTTCTCAAAGCGATTGTAGCGCAAAGTTGATCGTAACTCCCATACTTTAACATAGACTTACGACTGTTGTAGCGCTACGATCGCTTTGAGGAACGGGGCCCTGGTTTCTAGCATGCCCAAGGGAGGCAACTCTGCACAGCAATATGCAGCATGTTTGAGGATTGAGGACTTACAATCTGAGAGGAGGGAGAGATTTTCCATGACCTTCAGCAATATTACCACAGTATCAGGGGTACATCAGAAATACAGGACACACTGCATCCATGTGGGCAGTGATAGGTCCCCAGAATCACAACATCACATGCAGGGAGTGAAACAGGTGGTAGATACCAACAGCGTAATGTGAGTGCGTATGGTTGTTACGCAGCTTATAGCAACATTCCAGCAACATCACGGCGGGGAACACCAGAAATGGGCTTCACACATTGTAACCATGTGGGGAATCGAACCTGGGTCTTTGGTGTGATGAGCTAACACTTTAACCACTAGGTTACCCCTACTGCATAAATTGACATATACAAAATAAATCACAAAAGTGTCGCTGCTCAAAGTTAAAGATAAATCTTTAGGTTGTCTCTGGATTCAAATGCCAATGAAGCAAATGCGACATTACTTTGACCACAGATGATCAACAACATACGTGTCTGTGATAGAGAATCAATACCTGTAGTAGAGCAAGGCCACAATATGCAGATTATTTGTTAAATGGAACAACTGGATTAATGTAGTTTGTATTAAACATCTTTAACTTGTTATTAAATCCTGTAGATGCAATATAGTAGTTTATTTTTAATATAGTGATATTTTTTTTTACTATCATTTCACTGTATATTTTATGCGTCATTTGGACAATTTTGTTGTCAAAACATTATAATTATGGGCAAACTTCAACTACATTTACCATGATATAAGCAACGTTAATCACATAAAAAAAATGTCTACTCACATTAACACCTGAACTCTTACCAGCCAATCAACATGATGATCCGACTTTCACAAACAAATCAGGATGAATAAAAAGCTTTAAATGTATCTCGGGCTAATTGTTTTCGAAAGAGAAATACAATCAAGTGGACACACACTAAAGTCGGTAGACTAACCACTAGTCGCTGAAATGAACATATTTTACAGAAAAAAGTTCATAATAAAAAAAATAAAATTTAACTAAAAGAAGCCCTGGGACTTTCTTTATTGTAAGAGACCCTGAAGCTGTGGAAATCTAGACTTGCCACATTTTCTACACTTGCGTGGGTTTTCTTGGATATGTTTGCTTCAAGGTCTGTATGACAGACTGTAAAGTTGGGTCTTTAATACAATGTCACTTGTCAAACATTTAATTCTATTGATAACAAAGTATGCTTTATATGATTTGGGAAATATAATTTTTTAAATATTAGCAATAAAAATGACTGATGTGCAAAATTTAAAGCTATGCATCAATGTCTGAGAAACATTTCTATTTTTTCATGCTTAATACTCTTGAATTTAACATTCCTTCGGTTCTCTTTGGACAAACAATGTAATTGAAAAGGACACAAAACCTAGCGTATTGATCCAGTCGAAGATAATAGCTTCATAAATACGACCTCAATCATACAGTTCCTACGACCCAAGTAACTGCCACCATAGAATAAACAAGATGTCTTCAAACAAACCTCAATATCAACATCAAATTTCCAATTTCTGAATATTTCCCCAAACATAATGAGAACATCATGTATGAAATAGCCCATACTAAACTGTCAGTTATTGGGAAAATAAAATATTTATATCAAAATTGAGCACGGAGGACAAAACTATCAGAACCTAACTATGGCTGCTTGTGTGGTTTATGACAAAGTTGACATTTCTCTAGTCGCGTATAGAA